CATTCAAGTAAACCTGTCTAATCCAGTGTGTGTAGGGGAACTGCCTGACATCTAATATTGTAGCTTGACAACAGACTGACTGATTACTGATTTATGAGACAGAAACATGGTGAAGTCTGGTGATCACCATACTACTATACGGAGCGTAGTTGTAGACTACCACTCACACAGATGAAGACAAGGTGGATGCCTTTAACAGTCAGAGTGGAATGGTTCCAATGAGTTCACAATTCGACTATCAGGGAGGGAACTAAACAACCATAGGTGTCACGCCTGTATGCTATGTGGAATTGGGGAGGCTACCTAGAGGGCTGATAAATTGGAACCAAGATAAAGTAGACGGCCATCGGATGTGTGGGAGGTACCCAATAAAATGGAAGTATTAGGTTGCGAGGGACGTAACATTGTTTGAATCACTGTGAAACTCCCTTCCTTTCTTGCTGATCGACAAGAGTGGAAAAACACAGATTGCATAATTGATAAATTCTGATTGATAAATGCAAAATGATTAGAAAGACCACGATAAATTGTTTACCTTACTAACAAACAAACATAATAAGCTGTTCATCGAAATCAGTGAATTCATTGATAAGGAAGAGGAACATTTAATACAGGACATTCAAAAACTCCTTGGAACAAGAAGATACATAAACGTGATGAACAACCCACAACATGTCAAAACAATAGCTCAATTTAGATTGCCATAAACTTGCCATTGAAAAGGGTCGTTATACTAAACCAAAAACACCAGTGGAAGACAGGTTATGCTCCCATTGTAACGAAGTTGAAAATGAGGAACATCATTTAATACATTGTACATTATACACAAAACAAAGAGACGCAATGTTTCACACTATCAACAGTGTAAATGCAAATTTCCTGAATTTGGATAAAGAAAAACAATTTAAACATATCTTACAATCAAAAGATAAAGATACTATTATAGCCCTCTATGTGTACTTGAGTAACAGTAAATGAACAAACAAAATACACTCAATCACACTTATTACTTTTTATTTACTCAACTTTTGTTTACTTACTTTTTAGTTAATTCGTTATTAATTTTATTACATTTTTAACACCAAATTAGAAATGTAAAATTTTCTACACGGTTGTAATAAAGCTGTTGTCTAACTATCTATTTATCTTTAACACACATAGCTAATTCTCACTCAAGAGTGCTTGTTTTTTTGTTCTGTTGTAATTTTCCGTTTTTATTTATTCCTTTATTGCCATGTAATCAAAATCCCAATCATGGATACGAGTTCAATAAAGATTTTTATTATACTGCCGACCCAGTTGTTGATATTTAGGTGCATAATAAATATTACAGAACGTGCTGTGTGCATCCTCGTCGAATTGGCATCATGGCAAAACACCAGAGTGAAAGCAGATGCATTGGCTATTGATGAGAAACCATCCGCGTTCTGCTCATCTGAATAATAGATCGGCTGTAAAGAGGGATTTTTGTCTAGATTAAAAGTATTTGTATAGGTACATGGTATTATAGACGCACACGTTATTAAAGTTTTAATGTGAACAAAATTTAATTGTTTCAGATTTTTTAGATTTCAGTTAGTTACTCATTATAAATAATTACTTACAGCATGGCATTTTTAATGTTTTACATTACATTGTATCTGGCAGATCGTGGAATTTATCACTGGCAGATTTATGCACTTGTTGGAGGAGTTTGCCGAAGCTGTTGCGATAGCGCACGACTGTGATAGTGGGCCAAGTATTCTTGATACCGAATTTGTCGGTAAGCTGTTCACTCTTTTAAGTTTGAGATTTTATTGGTGATGGCATATATCGAATGTGATCTATTCATTTACGAAGGATAGTAAAAAGTAATTAGTTTACACTTCAGTAATATTATACAGACTCCATCAAGTGCGCTTGAGTGATTGTATATTAATTTTATTTGCAGTGTATGTTTCCATGTGGTAAAACGTGTCAATTTCTGTTCCCATTATAAGTCAGGAACATCAAAATATGCGTAACATACGGGTATTAGTTGCTCTTATTGATGAATAATATTTCATACTTTTTGTTGCTATTCCACAATCATTTTTATGACAGTGTGGTTTCTTGATCGCCTTTTTTCATCTCCCATTCTATATCAGATTTAAAGGTTGATTGCATAGACCCAGAATCAACTGAGGATCAGACATTCAGTTTGACGGATGCTGACGTGGGTTACTCGGTGTCCATCACAGTACCAAATACAGAAAACGATATACAGTGTAAGTATCGACACGTCAACAACTGATCAATGAGCAACGAATATTTTATTCACAGAGACTACGTATAATATCCCATAGCACATGGCATTTGTGTAAATTTAATTATTACTGGCGTCGTAGCTAGGTGTTAGTGGATTGGTGTATAACGACTGGATGCCGAGGCAATAATTAGATTAGACATTGGATTTATTTGCACAAACCTTAAAAAAGAAATTAATTTGTATCCCCACTGTTAAACGCTTGTGTGTCACTCGGTAAATGTTGAATTTTCAAAATTGCAGCCCCCAAAAATGTTAACTGAATAGATTCTGACGACATGTGCGTATATTTAGCAATGCTCAAATCCGGGTTCAGTGTGTGATAAATTTCGTCATAACCACAATTCGAGAAAAATGTTTATTTCAGCTTAATCATTATTTTTTATGACGGCATATTTCTTACGACTCTTTTGGTGTTTCTCATACCAAACGGAAGGACAATTAATATTGATTTCGCGTATTGTATTTGTGAGTTGAGAGTTACTGTAACGTTATCGATCGTGCTTGACGAGAGTGGGGTGTACAACAAGATGAAATATGCCAATTAGTGTACTAGTTAATCTCTGAGGATGAAGTCAACTTTAGTCTTTTTTCAGGAAATATATTTGCAAAAGTTGTTCTTGGATTTGTTCAAACATTTCAATCAAGACCTATATCGTACGGGAAATTATTTCAGTTTGGCCCAAAATGTGCGAAATGTCGTACACAATTTCTGTTTGGAAATATTATGGCGTTGACGGGGTGAATGCTTCATCAGTTTGCTGTGAGCTCAGATACAGTAGTTGTCTGAGCTGTGGGGTACTGTGGACTGTGAATAATCAAGCAGAAACCTTAAATTAAAACATACATGTACATAATAGCTGCGATATGTTTTGGTTGAACGCCTTAGATTTGTTGAAAAAAATAACATATGTTGCACGTGTTCAGAACGTGACTTTTTAAATGTCAATACTTTATACACTGCAGCGAATAGTATATTTTTAAGAACAACGAAAATATCTCCATAAAAAGACACTCTGCCCTAATCGTGACATTTAGTGTAGCTTATTTTTACAAATTTTATTTGAAAATTATGGAAATAACACTTACGATCTCGCGTTACCTCTACTCATCACACGTGATCTACATCTCTCTATTTTCAGTGAAAGTATCTCTAATGGTATACGATGAGATCCAGAACTTGATTTCGAATAAAGCCGAGAATAAGTCTGATGCAACCCAGTCCAAGAACCTTGTTTTGGAACCCGTTCTTGAGAAGGACGTCACAGTCGAAAGTCTGGTGACGTCATTTATTATTACTTCATCACTGGGAACAATTGTTGATTTCACTAATAATCCTGTTGTCATCTCTTTGAAAAATAACGAGGTATAGTAAAGTATTTGTTTTTTATTACTTGTGAAATGGTTTGTTTATTTAAGGCCGTTCGAGATAAATTCAAATTTAGCATGTTGTTGTAAATGCTAATTACGACCCTTTTTCATAATATTTCGGATTTTAAGTATCTCCAAAAAACTATTTTTCATTTTCAGTATCCTGGTGTCCTGAATCCAAAATAACAAGTAATTGCATTACATAATCCCTGTGAGTTCTAAAGTTTAAGAATATACAAAGTTTGAACATGAACAATCAAAAAATGTTAGGGAAGTAGATCCAAAACAACATTTACGAAACAAAATGGCCAAAAACATAGTGATGTACATTAAAGTTCCATAAAATGTATATACCAAGTTTGAACAAAATATGTCAATGCTTGACCGAGAGCCAGATCCGGAATTGCAGAAATGCTCAATTTTGATGATTAAAAACATCGCAATTCGACCATCATCACATGATGTATGATGTATATTTAAAGTTTGAACATCATCGGTCAGTATATGTTGGAAATATATCTCCGGTACTGCATTTATTAAAATAAAATGGCCATACATCGGCCATTTTGAATACGATCCAAAAACAAACAGTCGTGCATCAGGTCCCATATTGTCTAATGTTTGCACCAAGTTTGAACAAAACATCTCTTATATGACTGAAATTCAGTTCCGGGATGTTAGCAATGTTTGATTTAGATGAATTTTTAACAATAAAATGGCCATATTCGAATTTTCAAATGAATACAAGTACGTATGTGCTACATGATGTATGATGTATATCCAAATTTGAAAATGTTTGATCTGGGAGTGTTTAACCAAATTTGGTTAAACAAAATAGTCACCAGGCAGCCATTTTGAATCCGATCTGATAAACACAATGACTTGCATCCAGATCCCATAATGTCTGATGACAAAATGGCCACCATTCAGTCAGCTTGAATTGTATTGACCAATACCAAGACATTTCTGAAACGCGACTCGCCTATTTTGATTCTGATATGAGGAAAAAAGACTTGCATACAAGGCCCTATAATGTCCAATGTCTGTACCAAGTTTGAACGAAATCCGTCCACACACGACATCTAGAATGGCAGATATGATTTTAATGAATTTTGGTCGCCATCTTGAATCGGATTATGAAATGAATAGACATGCATGTGTCGCCCAATATCTGTGATGTCCGACACACAGGTGAAGACACACGAACACACATATAGCCAATCGCTACAGTCTTTGGCACGATCACGTAAATTAGTAAACAATCTATTTATCAATTCCTGTTTATAATCTCTACCCTAAACATGCAAGTTGTTGATTCTAAACAATAGTGCAACGGCGTGTGAACCAAATGTAAGTACGTGAAGTCGCTATGGTAACAAAAGTATGGCGAACATGACATACTAGTATCTTCACATCGAATGGAACGTCCTTAAAATCAAAGTTTATTAACCAAATTGTAATTGTTATCAGAAAATACTCTTAGTGTCACATTCGT